ATCTCTTAAGGTGGGATCCACCTTCATGGATCCTGCTGGGCTCAGTGCTCTATCATCAGACTCTCTGGACTACAGATTAGGAGCCTGCTTGCCAGAAAGCTCCTGGGTGCTTCTTCCATGCAATGGAGTGGGAGGCCCACTGACCTGGAAAGAATTTCCCCTTGCTTGATAGCTGGATCAGACATAACACTTTAGAGAAGAAGGTAAGGTGATGGCGTGGGAAATGCGGTATACAAGGTGCCCCCCAGCTCCCAGCAAATCTGTGCTTGTGGCTGGCCTCATCCTGGCATTTCCTTGCTTCCTGGCCTTGGGCTTTTCAAGTCAGTGAATGGAGCAGGGGTTGCCAGTGAATGGAGCAGGGGTTATGTGGAGGGGGGTGCGGGGGGATGGTTAGCCAGGATTCATTAGCTATTTTTAAAGCAAAGAATAGGGATAGTGTCCTGTTGGCCCTTCTTTCCAGAGAAAGCCATCTCTGGAATCTCTGTTTAAAAATGCCACCTCAGCACATCTCAGAACCCAGAAGAAAGAAACTACCACAGGAAACACAGCGGGCCTGGGCCCAGGAGCCTGACACCTTCCTCCAGCTGCCAAGTCAGGCTCTGTCCAAGGCTACAGGTTCTGATGCTATCACGCAATGCCAGCCAGTTGCACTCCCTCATCACAGTAAAACCGGAGTCCTTTCTGCTCCCTGCCCTCCACAATAATCACTTAATTAAATAATTCATCATAACGGAAGTCAGCAGGGTGCCTGGGCAAGTCCATATTCCAACACAGACTATTAACTGGAACCCAGCTTGCTCAGCAGACACTTTTTTTTTTAAGTTTATTTTGAGAGAGGGAGAGAGACAGAATATGAGCAGGGGAGGGGTAGAGAGAGAGAGAGAGGGAGAGAATCCCAAGCAGGCTCCATGCTGTCAGTGTAGAGCCCGACTGGGGGCATAAACTCACAAACCAGGAGATCAGGACCTGAGCCAAAATCAAGAGTCGGCTGCTTAACTGACTCAGCCACGTGCCCCAGCAGACACTATTATTAAGCATCCCCACAACCCAAAGCAGCAAGTGAAGCGTGCCTCGTGTGATTTGACCCCAAACTCAGGAAAACACAAGCAGATGGGAAAGGTCTGAGGCTGTATCTCTGTCTCGCTTCTCCCTCCTTCCCCAGCCATAGGCAACCACCGTCACACAAGGACAGAACTCTCCAGAGACGAAGTAGCACGCACTTTTTTTTCTGCTGCTCTCTTTTACAGGCCTTTGAACTTCACTGCTCCCATGGGCCTGAATTGTCCATGTTACCAAACCCTAGCTGGCCACCCAGATGCTCAGATAAAAGGGGAGGAGCTGGAGACACCCTTGGAGGCAACAGCCAGAGGCCCCAGGGTCCCCCCAGACCACACCTCCCTGCTGCCTTCAGATCTTGTCCTTGCTGTTTGGGGCTGTGATGGCTGAGGGACCCGGCCACCCCGACTCTCTCCCACCTGTTTTCCTCAGTCTGTGTGCTGCTGGGGCAAGACCAACGCTGAGTCACTCTCGGCTACTCGGCCTCCCAAGAGGTTTCTGGAAAGCAGGATGTCACAGCAGAAGCTCCTTGGCCTGTCCCTTTTGCATTACTTCAACCTGCCTTTGTCAAGGCCACTTGTTTTCTTTCCATAATTTTCCTTGTCTGCTTGACATGTCCCAGGCCAACTGTAGTCCTTAATCACTGTGAAACCAGAGTCCCTTGTCTCTTACCTACTCTGTGCCTCAGTTTCTTCATCTGTAAAAGAACACACAAACAATAGTACCAACTTCACTGGACTCTTCTGAGGAATAAAAGCAGTTAAAAGTGTAAGGTGCTTAGGACAGGAAGGAGCCAATAAGCGAGGGCAAGGATTATTTAAGATAAGTGAGCAGTGCAGAAGCCATTAATTCCTTTCCTTTGAAAGCAAACCCTGTGACAGTCACCTGTGATGCGCACTTACCTCCCATCGCACAATGGTGGAGACATATGCCAGGCTGGGTTCTCCCTCGAGTGGGACGGTGTCTATGTGGGAGCAGGGGAGGAGAACTCCAACCGTTAGATCCAAAGAAACACAAAGAAAACCACCTCCCTCTGGCTTTGAAAGAATGCAGCCCTCTCTTGAGGGCCACGCCCTTTTTGCTTCCCTTGACATCTTCCAAGCAGTAGTGAGGGAGTCATAGCTTGGGCCCAATTATTTGTGGCACAGGAGGGCTTCTGGCTAGCCTCCTAGTCAGTCCCACTAAGTCTGCTGACAGTAAAGGGCAAGGCTGGTGGGGCAGAACTGAGAGAGGCAGCCCTACTGACTGGCTCCTGCACAGAGAGAGGACGAGAGCTCTCGGATAACAGGACCTCTGTGGGACAGTTGTCAGGAGAGGAAGGTTCCATTGGGGCAGGAGAGGAGGGGCTCTGGTCGCCTGCGGTGCTCCTGTGAGTGAGGCCCAGGGAGGATGCCAGGGCTTCGGCTTGGTGCCTGGGGCTTTCCGGTTCCCTAGTGCTTAATCCTCTTAAACATCCTCTTGGCTTTTCCAACAAAGTGGCTTCGCAGTGGGGTCCCTTCTCCAACAATCCTGGTGGGAGAAGAAAGAAAAGAATGGGGAGGGAAGGAAGAATCTGATGGAAATGTTACATTTGTGCACAGAGCTGGAGATGGGGTGGAAGGAAACTCTGGAGAAGGGTAGGGCTTAGTAACAATCCACGAGGGCAGTGGGGGACAGATACATTCCATCCAACGGACTCTCATTCAGCAATAACAAGAAATGAGCTGTCAGGCCATGAGGAGACAGAGAGGAAATTTAAACACGGGTTGCTAAGAGAAGAAACCAACCCTATAAGGCTACAGACTGTATGACTCCAACTATATGGTGTCTGGAAAAGGCAAAACTGTGGAGACAGTAGAAAGACCAGTGGTTGCCAGGGGGAGGGGATGAACAGGCAGAGCACAGAGGAGTTTTGGATCGAAGTAGATAGATGTCTTTATACATTTGTCAAAACCCATGGAATGTACAGAGTGAACCCTAATGTAAACTCTGGACCTCGGTTAATAATAATGTACAATGCTGTTTCATCAGTGGTAACAAATATACCACAGTGATGTTAACAACTTGGGAAACTCTTCCGGGGGAGTACGGGAACTCTTGTGTTTTCTGCTCTGGTTTCCTACAAACCTAAAACTACTCTTAAAAATAAAATCTATTAAGGCACCCGGGTAGCTCAGTTGGTTAAGCATCCGACTCGTGATTTCGGCTCAGGTCATGATCTCACTGTTCATGGGCTTGAGCCCTATATTGGACTCTGTGCTGATGGTGTACAGCCTGCTTGGGATTCTGTCTTCCTCTCAGCCCCTCCCCTGCTTGCTCTCTCGCTCTCTCAAAATAAATAAGCATTAAAAAAATTAAAAATAAAAATAAAATCTATTGAAGACAGCAAAAACGAGAAGAAAGAAAACAAAGCAAAGCAAAACCCAAGCCCAAACCATCCCCCAAAGCAAAAACCAGGAGGGCTGGGTCTCGAACTAGAAGAGCTGCCTCAGCACACAGCTTCCTGAGCAATGGCTTGGACCTTAGGAGCTAAAGCTGAGGCCACTCTGCATATGAGGTGTGGCTGCTGAGTCTGCCTCCAGCTCAAACAGAATGGCCTTCATCAGGGCCATTTAACTGGCTTTCTTTTCCCTTCCTCTCACTTAAGAAGCCTTTCTTTCCATAGTTTTGGTGCAAAAGTCAGCCTGGCTAAAAGGATTGGGGCAGCTGGCTGGCAAATGCTGGTGGAGGTCTGCACTCTAGATGAGGCACCAAAAAAGGTTTGCTCAGTTGGGAAGCTTGAGCTCACCCTTTCCTCCCTGCCATGTTGTTTCCTTCTAACTAGAGCTCTTGGGGTCAAGGCTCAGCCATCACAGACTCCGTGCCTCCAGTGGTCCAGTCTGAGTCCAAGGGAGAGGCACTACTCACCCTCCTACTGGAGAGACGGTCCCTCGGAGCGGGCATGGCTGAGGCCCAGGGACGCTCAGAGCCCCAAGGAAGGCCTTCCTTCCTGGGCCCATGATCAGTGATGCTCCTTGGAGTTGTGCAGTCCTAAAGGTGGTCTCTGGTGGAAAATGGGCCTCTTTCACTGCATCCAGCCCCACACCCGAGTCACAGGGATCACACTCTGTGGTGACAACAGTTTCTGGGTGCTGGTCTGCATCAGGTTTTCAGTGAGGAAGAAGAATAAACCCTCAGCTCCCATGGTGACCTGGAATAACCCAGGTGATCCAGGCTCATGACTCACACATTCACTATCAACCGTGCTACTTACACAGCACTGCTGTTGGCAAGTGTAGAGTTGATATGTGGGCCTGGACTTTGGGCTGGGTTTGGATTCCATCTATTTACTTACCGGTTGTGTAAGCTGCAGGAGGTTAATAAGCTCTCTAAGCCTTCGTTCCTTTGGCTGTGAAGTGGGTGTTATAATCCTGGTGTCACGGGTCGAGACCTCAGGGAGAACCACGCCATCTAAGGGGAGGGCCCCTGGTGGCGGTTAACATGTGCTTGCCCCCCTGCCCGACCGCCCCCCAAAATAGACCCTCCCTCAATACTCCCAGGCTGAGCTTCCTGCGGACCCAGAATCAACAGATATTCCTCAGAAGCACTATCAGGCAGCTCTAGGCTAGGGATCTGATTGAAAAGTGACGAGGGCGGGGAGGGAGGAAATGATATCACCCTGATAGAATTCTTGTCCAGCACAGGAACCTCTGCCGAGTGTCCAGAGGCACAAGTGGGGCTCAGTGTACAGGACAGTCTAACCAAGGGCTCAGAAGACGAAGAACAGGCTGGGAGGGAGAAGGTCACAGAATGAATTTTACGGTGATCTCAGGGGGTCGACAGGGATGCGAGAGGCATCGCTGCAACGTGGGGTGTAAAGGAGCAGGCTCCCCGGATGACGGTGTCACAGAGGCACGGGAGTGGGCACAAAACACCCGGGCCAGGGAGCACCCGGCCCCTTCCCCCAGGACTCTCACTGCAACCAGGCATGTTCATCTCTGTTTATTTTTTTCAGAACAAAACTAAAAATCACCACTCAAAATATTTGAGGAGAGTGCTCAGCTCAATCACAGTTAAAAGCTTTATGTAATTTGCAGCCAGAGCATCATGGACTGGTGGTCAGAAAGGAGAGCTTCTGGCATTGCTCGGACAGGGCCTGGCAGCCTGAGACGGCCCTCTCTTGCCCTGTCAGCCCCACTACTGTCCTCTGTATGCTGCCACCGAGGGCGGCAGCTGGCCAGCCCGAGTCTGCTGAGGTGGATGGCATCCACACGTTAGAAGCCATCTTAGTTCCCCACTGTGCTTCCGATTTGACCATCCGGTACCTCCCTCCCCCATTAGGGGTCCAAAAATGTCCACAAAGAAGGCAGGCAGGTCGAGGCCCAGGTGCTAGTGTTGTCAGGATGAAGACTGAGACAAAGTTCTGAGTCCTCGTCTTCACCTGGAAGGGCGAACTCCCTGCCCGGGCCTTCCGGGTCACAGGTGAAAAAACAGATTTGGTGCCATCATCGCTCGTGTTTAATGTTGGCTTCGCTTCGCTCCAAAGTGACCCCGTTGCCATTCCGAGGGCATTCCTTCTTGTTCCAATCCTTTTCAGTGTAAAATTCGGCTAGCACGGGGCAGTGCTCAGAAGCCACTCCTCCCCAGGACCAGTTATCTGGAATCCAAGGGTTCGTGAGGCCTTCTCTCACTACAGCCCAGTGACCTGGAGAGACAGAGGGAAAAGAGACGCAGAGATGAGGCCTGGGGCTGGGTGGGGTCCCGGCTGGCAAGAAGAGGCCTCTGTTCAATGTCTGCAAAGTCAGGATTCCCTGGCGATACTCCTCAGATAACCAGCTTGCCTGTGCAAACAAAATGTTCCAGCCAGTTGGGTTTCCTGGACAAGTGAGGGCTTACCATGTAGGTACTGAACACCACCCCCCCCCCACCCTCCGAGTCTAGGCCTCCCGCCCATTCACGTATCGGCCTATGGTTGACCTCCTCCTCACTATACACCTTTTCTAATCTGAGCAGCAAGAGTAAATATATTTGACGTAAGGTCAAATATCTCTCAAAGATGTCCAAAGTGAAAGTTTTATTTCACAAAGCAAAGGCAGTAAGTGGGGGAGGGAGGTGAAGGAGTTCTACAGGAAAGAGTAAAAAGGAAAAAGTTCTTACAGAGGCTTATGAGCAAGTAAAAGTATCTTAAAATAATGCTTTAGGGGGTGCCTGGGTGGCTCAGTCAGTTAAGCGTCCGACTTTGGTTCAGGTCATGATCTCATGGTTCATGAGTTCAAGCCCCGCATCAGGCTCTGTGCAGACAGCTCAGAGCCTGGAGCCTGCTTCAGATTCTGTGTTTCTCTCTCTGCCCCTCCCCTGCTCACCCTTGTCTCTCTCAAAAATAAATAAACATTAAAAAAAAATTAAAAAAAAAAACTCTAATGCTTTAGAAACATATAAAGCACAAGTATATTTGAAAAACAGTGAGGGGCGCCTGGGTGGCTCAGCCAGTTAAGCGTCCAACTTCGGTTCAGGTCATGATCTCAGGGCAGTTCGTGAGTTTGAGCTGTGCTGACAGCTTGAGCCTGGAGCTTCCTTTGGATTCTGTGTCTTCCTCTCTCTTCCCCTCCTCCGCTCGTGCCCTGTCTCTCTCTCTCAAACATTACAAAAAAACTAAAAAAACAAAAACACAAACAGTAACAGAATAGTTAACAGAATAGTTACAGAAGCGAGCGTAGTGAGGGAGCATGGCCAGAGACCTCCAGTGAGAAGCGAGGTCACGTTAGTGGAAGCGCGAACAGGTCTGGGCTGAGCCACGGCCTGCCCACGTGACATTTCCATGATGGTGGCCACTCTTCCCTGTACCTTCGTCTCTAGCTTCGCAGCAAGGGGACGGATGAAATGATTCCTACCTTCCTTCTGGCCCTGTGTTCTCAACTGTCCAGCTCTCCTGACGAGAGCCGCTCTCTGCAGGCACCTCCTGGCAGCTGGGCAGGCTGTGGCCACTCTCCGGCCCACCGCACATTTTCTGCAAGCTGCATCTCGCCTAGTGTGAGGACGGTCACTCCCCCTGAGACCCGCTTCCCTCGTCCTTCAGATCCTCCCCGACACAGTCCAACAGGCAACCGGCACCCAGACAGAGGTAGAAGCTGGTGACACAGTCCGGACTGGTGAGAAGATCTCAGCCCTGGCTGCCCGTTAGGCTTCTACAGAGGCGACCCCAGAATTGCACTTTCACCAATGTGGAATGTCTCCCTGAAGTATAATATGTGTAACACGTTGGGACTGAGTGAAACAACCAGGCAGGATTGAGGACCACTGTTCTCGCCATTCATCAAAAAACCTTACCATCACTGTCGTATTTCTGACCGATTGCTTCCTGACCCAAAGTCTGCTCAGCAGACTCGGTCGGGGGCTGCGTTGCGGCGCTCAGATTCCCTACCACACCCTGATCCTCATACAGTCTGTGAGAAGCATGTCCCCTGTCCTACCGTGACACTCTGAGACATGTCTGCTCATCCTCAGTGGCTGTCCCTCGCCCAGACAGTGCGGCAGGAAGCCTCAGGCCACAGCACGGTGCCTGAATGTTATGGTGCTTAAGGAGTGTCTGCTAAATGACTGAGTGTCCTTAAATTAAAGTAAGCTATCAGTTCATCTCTGAATCGGTACCCTGCTGGCCTAGAAACAGGTTTGCCTGAGACACAGTCAGTTTGCCACTCCTGAAGATCAGTGAATGCCTCTTCATTATTTTTCACAGCCCCTCTTAGCCCTTAAAAGTGGCTCTGTTTGAATGATAATTATACAGGCACCTAAACGATACATAATCCTGTCAATGCCCACGGAGGCAGTAAGAACTCCTGACCAGAGTTATCAAACCAAAGGACCTGGAACTATGAGTTGAGTTCAGACGGGTCTCTCTTACACCATTTCTGAACAGGAAAAAGAACGAGTGACTTCTGCTTTACCTGTGAAAACCTTCTTTAAGCTTTTACTGATCCAGATGTTGTCCAAAGACTTTGAGCCTTGGGGGTTCTTGGTGCTGATGTTGGTGAAGGTGTGTGCAGGGACCAGGTGGTAGAATTTTTCTTTCCTTAAGATATCATAGTCACTGCTGTCAGGTCCCTGGCCAAAATCTCCTAAAACAATCATATCTTTTTCTCCTGGAGGTAGAACAAAGAAAATCAGGTATTTAAGAGGTTGTGGGAGGTAAACCCAATATTGACTATAACCCACTAAGTGGGATCCTGATTCTCTGATTGGACTCCCCAGGGTTAGGAATGCATATGGTTCTCATTCTTCCAATTTTTCCCAATACCGCGTACAACAAACAAACATAAAACCAAAATACGCGCAAAAGTTTAAGAGTAGGTTTGTAACCCGTTTGGAAAAGGAAAGATACGTGAAGCAGAGATCGCCTCTGTTCCAGCTCAGGTGTTCCAAATCTCATGGCAGAAAAAGCCTGAGGGTCTTGTCCAGATATTTAACAAGAGCTGGAAAAAACATTTGTTGGGCACAGTGGGGGAAAAACATGCAAATAATACAAGAGGGTGGCCATCTACAAGTCAAGGAAATCATCCCTCTGACACCTTGATCTCAGACTTCCAACCTCCAGAACTGTGACATTCCTATTGTCAAAGCCACCCAGAATATAGTATTTTGTCATGGCAGTACTAGCAGACTAATACAGGGCCAGAGTGAGAGGTTTTTCCCCTTATTTTCAACATTTCTACCATTGTTTGATGTTCACTAAAGCAATTTAATCATCACGAAGTACTGAGTCATCACAAAGTACTTCCCGGAGGGAGCAGACATTCTGAGAGGACAGTGGACCCCAGCTAGGTTCTGGGATTCCCACACTTCTGCCGTCTCGAGATTCCCTTCAGGGGAGCCACATTATCGTGGCTAGCAGGGTGTCTGTCCTAGCTTTCAAGGGAGTCTTTAAGAAAGGCAGTTCATAAACAAGAGCCCAAGGTATCCGAGACCTGCAGGAAGTCTTTCTCCGGGACACCAAAGTGTTTCAGCAATAATGGCTAGAGGCAAAGAAATCTGAAGTGAAATGACAAAAGCCACCAGCAGAGGGCACTCGTACACTGCAGATGACACCCGCTCTGGGGACCATGAGGGACAAAAGGGGGTGTGATGGAAGACCCTCCTGGGGTTCCACCTGTGGCCTACAGAGATGTAATGGTACCCCTAGGCTGTATGTCAACAACATCTCAACATGACTTGAGAAATCAGTGCCAACTTCAACAGGAAAGCAGACTTGAGAATAAAATGAACAACTCCTACCTGGCCAGTGCTAAGGCCATCCATGAGCCTTCATCCTGGCCATCCATGAGGCTTCACCTGGTATTGGACCTTCTCCACAGGTAAGAAGCTAAGTCTCTGAGAGACTGAGTGGCTTGCCAGCCCTCAAGCTCACGGCTCTTCATAAAGGGCTAGAATGCGAGAGCCATGAGGACGTGGGCGGCTGTTCATCACAAAACCCCATGTGCCTGGAACAGTGCCTGCTGCACGGCAGACCCTCGATAAGCACGTATGGAACAAATGGGTGAATGAGGCATGAGGAAAGCCCCCAGAATTAAGGTGTACTTTTTGAAAGGAGAAAAGACAAGGATGCTACGTTTACTAAATAACAAGAAAAGCTGAAGGTTAGGAGAAATGAGGCAGGACGTTCCCATATAACGAGACACGTTTTCATTGGGACGCAGACCCGAAAAAGTTTGGGCCAAAAGCGATTCTGAAACCAGGAGAGGTGCTGGTGTCCGAGGTCAGCAGACGCAGCTCCGTGTCACTTCAGGAATGACAACACCACAGCTCTTTCTGAATGCGCACATCCAGGTCTCTCACAACTCATCTGCTTTTGGTTAAATTGCTCTCTGTGATGGGGCATCTGGGTGGCTCGGACAGTTACACATCTGACTCTTGCGTTTTGGCTCAGGTCTCTCGGCTTTGTGGGTTCAAGCACCACGTTGGGCTCTGTGCTGGCAGCAAGCACAGTCGTTGCCTCCGAGAATCCACAGGTGCACAGAGGCCTGAATTCTCCTAAAAAGCCATCTGCCTGGGATGGGATCCTTAGTTCCCAGGAGCGGCAGGGAGGATGCTTGGGGCTGACTTCCTCAGATAGTTCCTAGATTTACAGGACGCCAGTGACAATAGCAGGAGCTGGTCGCCACTGAGGGATAGTCCTACCCAGATGCCAAGCCATACTATGCACCCTGTTTCATGCTGAGTTCACAGAGAGAGCCCCAGGGGGGTCTGAAAGAAAGCCATCTCATCAGAGGACTGGCACACCACACGCTGAGGTCAACCCAGATGCGCATTCCAGACAAAGGCAGAAAGGCCCAGAGTTCGCTAATCAAATTGGCTCTGTTTGCTCTGATAGCTGTGGAATAAAAGCTTAGTCTTTGTTTTAGCTCAGCCACGTCTGCTAATAATCAATTTGCCCTTGCACCTTGGGCACGCTCGAGAACTTCCTGAACCCTTGGGTCTGCTGTGTCACCAGTTAACAACTGGATATTAGTTATAAGCACAAGGGCACTGGGAACATGAGTCACTGTCCATACCCGGACAAGTCAAGGCGAGCCGGGCTATGGGTCAACGGTCCCTTGGCAACTTGGAATGAAAACCTGACCGCGCTCTGGATGTCAGAAAAAACAGTGAGATGTTATCAGAGAAGTTATGAACTGGCATCTTTTTTTTTCTGCTTCCGTGTACAGACAAGGAAAAGCTTGAGGTCGAGAACAGAAACGTCCACAGATTTTAAATGCTATGAAGTCATCTTTTTAATAGGCTAGAGACAAGCTGTGGGTGAACAATTTCCCACAGAGCTGCTTCTTGGATGGAGTATCTCAGCTTAGACATCTTAGTGACTTTTTTTTTAGCCTGAAGACCCCTGATTTAAGTAGAATGCTAGTCACAGCACATCCTGGTTCACAATGTAAGTTGCCCTTCAACATCCACAGCAGCACTATTCACAACAGCCAAAAGATGGAAACCAGGTATTCACCGACCAATGAATGGATAAACAAAATGCAGTATATATACACAACAGAACAGTATTTGGCCTTAAAAAGGAAGGAATTTTTTTTGAGACAGAGAGAGAGAGAGAGAGCATGTGCATGTGAGCAAGGGGCAGAGAGAGAGAGAGAGAGAGAGAGAGAAAGAGATAGAGAAGCTTCTATTAGGGGCTCGCCTGAAGCGGGGCTCACACTCACCTGATGTGGGGCCCAAACTCACGAACGGTGAGATCATGACCTGAGCCAAAGTCAGATGCTTAACGACCGAGCCACCCAGGCACCCAAAATGGAAGGAAATTGTGACACATACTACAACATGGATGAACCATAAAGACACGATATAAGTGAAGTAAGCCAGCCACGAGAGGACAAATACCGCATGACTCCATTTGTACGAGGTACCTAGAGTGCTCCAATTCATAGAGACAGAAAGTAGAACCGTGGCTGCTGGGGGCTGGGGAAGGAGGCGGTGGGGAGCTCGTGTTGAACGGGCACAGAGTTTCGGTTTGGGAAGATGAAGAAGTCTTGCAGACGGATGGACATCATGGTTGTAAAACCATGTAAATGTACGTACTGCCACAAACGCTTAAAAAAAAACGGTAAATGGGAAGTGTCTGTTACGTATGTTTTACTACAATCAAAAAGTCTTTTTCAAATGTAAAGCTCTAATTTGACCAAATTATTTTTATAGCTGAATTCTCACGAGTCACCCCTGTGAGGGGCCAATCTAACATGGACAAGGCTTAGAAAACTAGAGACTATTGGTGAAAACTCAAGAACACATTAAGACAATTCTGGGCCTCCGGCTGTAAACGCCCACCTAGAGAAGGGCAGGGCTCTGAAAAGTCCAGCCAAAAAGCCCAGTCTTTACAGCAGTGTTAACTCTTCCTTCTGGTCTACCTGCACAGGGGAAATTTTCTGTATTGCTGCGGCAGAGCCTGGAAACAGAGAGCCCACTTCCTACTGAAGCTCCGCTCTTTTCACTGCTCTCTTAATCCTCTGGTATGTTTTGAGTCAGCTCGTGTCTGCTGAGCCCTCACTGTGTGCTCGGTACATCCACAGATCACCACCATGCCTCCCCAGCCGCCCCTGTTGAGGCGAGCGCTGGCCAGTACCTGACTGGACAGGCTACAAGTAGTGTGGTGATTTCCCTGAGGTCCTACAGCGACTGAAGGAGCCAAGATTAAATGTGGGTTTTCTGAGAGCTCCGGGCTGATCTGCATCCCAGCAGGGAGAAAAAAATCTACCTTGTGCTAATCAGGACTTTCCCAGTCACCAACTGTCTTTCCTTCACAAGACGAGCACGTGCCAATCTGCAGGTGGCATCACCACAGCAGCAGCTGAACGCAGGAGGACTTGTCACGGGGGAGGGTGTCGTCACTTTTTTCCCCCTTAATCCTTTCCATCAAAGAGAGGCTGAAAAGCCCCAAAGCTGACAGTGTGGAGTGTGCATGGTAGGCCCAGAGACGGAGGTGTCACCATGCACAGGGGTGGCTGGGCTCCACGAGATGCAGGGGCTGTGACAGACGGTCTTCTGTGCCCCCAGCATGCACTGCTGCTGACAGCCCTGTCAGCCTAAGAGATCGGAGGGATGCTCCGAAGAGGCAGCCCCCTGCCTGCCCCCTGCAGAAGTGGGACTTGTTGGCCCAGCCGAGGATAAAGACAATCTCCTACCTTTCAGGGTTTCCTGCAAGGTCTGTGCAAAGGTAGCCAAGCGGTGGCTGTCACTGTGATTCCTGCTTGGATTGTCGCCCCCTGGGAGGATCATGGATGCCAGGTGAAGGTTCACAAGGGTCAAGTCATTGCTTCCCACCTAGGCAAGAAGAAACAAAGCAACAGGGACAGGCTCAGATGCTCATATTTCCTGTATTCGTTGCTTCTGACTTAGGAACAGCTTCCTGCACGATGTTGACAACAGCAAACACAAACAAGGCAAGCTCACACCCCAAGAGATAATGCAAGACAGATCGTGCTTGGATTCTTTTGAGGCCCCTGTAGGACATCACACCCCCATTCTAACTTAGGGTCTGGAAAACCAGGTGCATCTGGAAAGGTCAGGTTTTGTTTTTTGTTTTTTCCTTGTAAGCAACCACAAAACAGGAGGCGGTGGTTCCCGCAGCTGGTGGTTAAGCAAGACTGGGGTCTTACACTCTAGGGCCAGACCGTGATCCCTCTGCCAGGACCCACCGCTGGGACCCACTTCCTTCCCCACCCCACACACATCCCACCTACCCGCCCCCTTTGTGTTCTCTTCTCTCCGGAGACCACTGTGCCCTGCTGCTCACTTTCACCAGATTTCAAAGGAACAGGAAAGCTGGCTGAAGCCTGGCAGCACGGGATACGTCGCAGCCTTGGGTCCCCAGGGCAGGTGTCGTGGTGGGCAGGTACAGAAACACACAGAGATGGGTCTCCTGGGCATGGCAGCTTTGCTCAGCTGCTCGGGTTTTGGCAATCCTGCCCTTCCATTTGTCATGGTGACAAACGCTAAATACTGCCAGGAAGGACAGGGGTGCAGGGGGAGCCCCCAGGAAGTGAAGGCTTCACTTCATTTCATCTTACAGACATGACCCCAGTTCACCATCACCACCACCCAGCCTGGAGAGCCCTCTGCAGCTGTGGCTCTGACCACAGAGAAACCACCTTAAGGCCACAGGCAGGGAAACCCTGCCTAGGAGGAGAACCTGGAGCCTGCTCCAGATTCTGTGTCTCCCTCGCTCTGTCCCTCCCCCACTCGCACTCTCTCTCTCTCTCAAAAATGAATAAACGTTAAAAAATAAACAAAATTGGAGACACCGGTTGGTCTGGCTGTTGCCCTGCTAGGTCAAAGCAAGTGCGGCCACTTTACATAAAACAGAAATCCAGGGCAGCACTAGGAGGTTTTAAAGAGGGTAACTGGCAGATTTTGCACATCAATCTCCTAAGCACAACCACAGGCACCCCTAGGCGTGCGTGTGCACACAGAACCCCAGCAACTTTGCAGCCGGGGGCAGAGCCTGGTCCAGATCCCGGCTGCAACCAACACAGCTCCCAGCACAGAGGCAGCCCCTGCCACATGCCGCCAGAGACCGTGCTGGGATTTGAGGCAACTCTCCAGAACTGCTCTGGAGCACACAGAAGTGGGGGGGGGGGGCAGGGGGTGCTCAAACACCCAGCAGGTAGCTTGCTAGGCTCTGTGGCAAGGGACCACTCTTGCCTGACCCTGCATTTCACAGGTAAGTGCCATGGGGATAAGGTCAATTGAGTGCCAACTGGGAGATCTATTTTGGCTGCTGGCTTCTTTTTTCCTCCTAATGCCCAGCTTCTGTTTGTTGTTCATGATGTATCCCAGGTGCATCCCGAGGAATCAAAGAGATAGCTCAGATCAGTCCCTCTGCTCCTATCGATGCTCACGTAGGGAAGGGCTCATCTGGAGAGGTCAGTGGTGGGGCTGCCCTGACTCCACAACCCAGAAGCTCCTCTTGAACCCCTCCAAACCCAGATGACCCCCTGAGGGTCTTCCCCTCCCCACCCCCAACCCCCCACCCCACCCTTCCACCTCCTGGTAAGGAGAAGCATATCCTCAGAACCCATTCTGCTGTCCTCTAATCCAGTGATCTCCAAATGCCAGAGGAATGAAGAGGCACTGAAGGTACCTTTGAAAAACAGGCAGTCCTGGGCCCTATCCCAGAAATTCTGTGTGTTTGGGGGACGGTCCAGGAATCCCTGATTTTAAGACAAGCCCCCCAGGTGATTCTGACGCGCGTTAGGTTTGGGAGCCAGCCATTTGACCTTCTGTGCCCAGATGCCAGAGTTATCAGAGCTAGAGTCCTCACCGACCCCCACCCCCCACCCCCAATCCCTCTCATTCCTGTTCTGGACAAGTTCACCGGCCAAGGGAACCCCAGGAGGACATGCTGACCTGACCCTCAAAGAGAATGAAATCAAGACAAAAAGATGAGGCCGCTCTGGATCACAGTTTAGAAAGGGACCCTTCCCCCCCCAGCTTTTAGAAGCAGACCTTCACAGAAACACGGAATGGTACCTTGAACCTCGCAAGGTACGGGCTGGGACCCGTGGGCTTCCCATGCCCGTTGCCAGGTGAACTTTCCTGTGAGGTGGCGTCTCTCAGCTCCACCCCGGCCGCAGAGTCCCACAGGAATCCAGAGAATCCAGCCCCCTGCGGGAGAGGAAGAGCTATCAGTCTGAATCAGGATTCAGCCCCACGCTGGGAGAAGAGGCAGGGGAAACCAGGAGGAGACGCGTGGGGGGGGGGGGGACGGTTGGTTCTGCACTGGGTCCTGAGATCACATGCACAGGGCCTGTTTCAGAAACAAAAGCACACCCCTAAAGCCACAGCACATTCCTCCTTGCCCCCAGCCCCAAATTTCCCACGCTGCCAATTTCAGAGTTTTATGTGGAGCCAGAGGGGCCTAGGCTGTTATCTCTTTGGGGGTGAAGTGAAGGGAGGCTCCAACTAAGCACAGAATTATCTTTTTAATCATCACATCCCTATGACAGACACTCATATCCCTGTCTACCAGGCAGGGGGTCAGCTGCTCAGAGAGGTCAAGTAACTTCCCTAAAATCCCACAGCTGGTAAGCAGCAATGTTGAGAATCAAATAGAAGACTCTCAGCGGCAGGCTTTGCTTACCAATTAGTGGCTGCGTACATCAGTACCTAGCACCTAGCAAATCCTCAGATATTTGCTGGATGAATGGAGGTCAGTGCTAAGAGTCACAATGATTTAGAAGTGGTCAAGGGCCCTCTGCGGGTGGACAGGTCTGCAGCCCCGGTGCAGGGCCCCATGAGGGCCAGAGAGTCGTGTCAGGAGTGTCCCAGGGCTTGGTGCTAAACGCTGCCATCTCCGGCTTCAGAATCTGCCAGCTTCTCACTGTTATCCCTGGGGGCCTTCTGCAAAGAGGAAAAGCTTCCTCTCCCACCCCACTCCAGCATCTAGAGGCTCTGCCGCCCGAGACTGGCAGCGGGACCCGTGGCATCGCTGGAGGGGCCGGTGGTGCTCGTTGCGAAAAGAGAGGAAGTGACTCTGCACGACCTAAGTGGCCTCTGCTGAGTCCCCAACATCGGCTGGACCCCAGCCGCACGCCTTGCTGGGCTCAGCACCTCAACTAGACCAACTTGTGTTGAGGAGGAGGGAAGGGGCGAACAGGGAACCGTGTTCTGCGTGCTTTGGTATTTATAGAACCATAGGCCTGCCCGCCCACTGGAGAGAGCACCAGCTTAAGAATCGGAAGAGCCAGATCTCAGGGCCACCTGTGTCACTCAGCTGTGGGACCACGGGAACCTCCCCCCCCCACTTTTCTAAACCTGTTTCCTTGGGTACAAAGTGAGGGAAATGGGATTTGCCCTTTGGGTTTGGGAGGGTTATCCCCCCTTTACTGCTTCTCAAGCAGTGGTGCCAGAGTAACCTTCCTAAAGTACCGTTCAGGTGGTCAGCTCTGCCGAAGAACCTTCAGTGGCTCCCCAGTGTGCACGACCCACTGCCCGAGGGGCCCTCCCGGTAGGCACCTTCCTGTTCAATGTGGCCTTTCACACCTGCTCACCCACGTTCCCAGCAGGACCGGGTGTTTCTGGGAGCTTCTCCCAGCCCCGGGACCCAGGAGGCCCCACCTCCAGAAGAACTGCTGTGCCTCCAAGCTGGGCCACGGGAGATCAGGTGTTAGAGCCAGAGCCCTAAAATGGGGTTCGGGGCTGACTCCACCTGGCGGCGGCTAGAGGACTTTGGGGCAAGTCGTTTTGTCTTTACAGATCGCAATTTCTCATGTGCAGCTGTCCCTCCAGCTGTGGGGCGAGGACCTGAGAATTGAGGGGAGGCGCGTGGACGTCACTGCAGGCATGGGGCAGACGGCAGGTGCAGCTACCCCTCTCCCATCTCCGTCTCGGGTAGAGATCGAACGTGTGCCACTCACAGATACAATTTATCAAACAGTGTTTAAAGAATTTTTAGGTTATCTGCCCATATTTAAGATTCAGTAAGTGTCGCATTAAAATCCAGGTATGTGTATCTTTTGAGAGACCAGAAGATTTGTCCACACGAGGCCCACAACCCTCCACGGCAACATGTGCGTGGGCACAGCCTTGCAGCCTGGCACAGCCTGCCGCCTCACGTGGACGCTGCCAGGCCCTGGCCTGTGTGCAGTTAATAAAGCATTTCAATGCACATTATCTTTTTAAATCCTACAGCCACCCAGTGACTTAAGGAAGGGGCTATTGCTCCCATTTTAGAAATGAAGGAACGGAGGCTGAGAAGGTTAAGTGGCTTGAACTCGGGTCTCCTTGCAACGGCACACTGTTCTCCAATGGCCTTGATGCCCCAAGCTGGAGCAGGGTTTCCTGCCTCGTCCCTCCAACAGGCTGTGAGCTCCCAGAGGGAGGGGCTCCATCAGCTCAGGTTGAATCCCTGCCCTGGGCTCACAATGAGTGAAAACAGGCAGGGCTGTGTCACCAGGTCTGTTTTTCTTACCGATGTCTATCTGGCATGTAGCAAAGTGCCTGGCATGCAGTAACCTTTCTAATTTTTCAGTGGACAAATAAAGAGTGTTAAATGGACTATAAGATCCTAATGAACCCACCTAAAAGATACTATTTTTTTAAAAAGGCAAGGTGTGGGCGGGACAAGCGGGGGTGCGCCTGGGTGGCTCAGTTGGTTAAGCGTCTGACTCTTAGTTTCGGCTCAGGTAGTGATCTCACGGTTTCACGATTTCAAGTCCCACATCAGGCTCCGTGTGGACAGTGTGGAGCCTGCTTGGGATTCTCGCTCTCCCTCTCTCTGCCCCTCACCCACTCATGCTCACTCTCTCGCTCTCTCTCAAAATAAATAACATTAAAGAAAAAGGCAAGGTGGTAGTGTTATTTCTATGTAGACTGAGTAGGAACAACCAAGGGCTACAGAGGTAAAGACTAGACACGTTCCAAGTTGGCTTAATTTCCAGCCTATGGGGAAAGTACACTGGCTATCGCCTACAGTAACAATTTACACTCCAAAACATAAATCCCAGGGAAATAAGATTTATATCACCTTTTTAAGTCGTGGCTAAAAAAAGAGACCTTATTGTCAATAATTAATCAGATAACTTTAAGCCAGTATATATTTATAATTTAAAAGTTCCAAATCTCAATATCCCTCACATAAATGCTATTTGTGTGTTTATAAACATGTTGGATATACTAGACAGAAAGAAATACAACATCTGCATTTATAGAAAAACTATGTGATGACACAATTTCCAACTCAAGATTAGCTACCAGAACTCTATTTTAAAATCTAAAACCCCACTAATATCAAACATTCCAAATGAGTAAAAACCTCAGTCTTGAATAGATCTGTCAGAGTGAAAACATACCCTTACAGTGATTTACCCACAGCCACAGGGGAAATACCAACGAAAGAAGACTCAAAATTAAAATCTGCTCAAAATGTCCACAGAACATTTCCATGTGCACAATTTCTACCACCAAAAGCAAATGCTTCGCCTATGAATTAAGTGAATTTGAAGTTTTCAGTCAATGAACAATGGGCTCTCCACAAACTTGGCAGAGGATAGAACTGTGGCGACAGGATTAAGAGGACAAAGGACAGAAATACCCCATTTGCAGCCTTGGCTCCAGACAGGATTTCTCCTCTCCTCCCAACACCCCAAACCCCCGTTTCCGCCTGGGCAGCCGTCCATTCCCGATCGAAACATGAAGCAAGAACCAGGGCATTTTGCAACGAATAGCAAAGAGCTAAGAAATGTGCAGCAACACAAAATTGCACCAGGGATGTTGGCAAAGGAAAGTTTTAAATGTCTGTGATTAGGGAAAATAAAGGTTTCCACAAAACGGAGATAAAATCCAAGTTTTGCAGACGAAGGTACCTTCTGGAGCGGCGTGGAGGGCATCTCGGCGACAACGGCCTTCCAGCATCCCCGGGGCTGCTTCCACTTGCGGATGTTGGGCAGGAGAGGCTGGTTTAGCTCCGTACAGAACTGCAAAGACAGAGCACAAGTTGGTGTGTGTTCGTACCGAAAGCACACCCAGCTGGGGGCAGCCGGAGGAGCCAGGAAATGCCTGAGCCTGACTCGTCAGCCTTATTCAGAGGCTTGTCGGGCTTCATCTCTGTTCTTAGGGTTCGTGAAGACGCAGAGGACTAAAAAAGCCCCACAAATTAAAAAGCAAACTACCTATAAACGCACAATTATCACCTGGGGGGGGGGACTCTCAGTTCATAGTAATCAATTCACTTTGTAGCATTCTAGCAGATAGCTCAAAACAAGCTGTCAGAATCCTTTCGATCCTTGTAAAACCGGTGGTTTCAAGGTCCCAGGAGGGTCTAGATACCAAACGTGGAGGAAGGAAGAGGAATACATGGGGGTCTTTTCTCCCCCTGAGCCTAGCTCACAGGTGGAAAAGCCGCCCCCCCCCCCCATCTAGAACCACCATATGTTCGCTTTGATGCTCTTCCGAGAAGAAAGCCCCGCTGTCGTGGCTCTGACACCCCACGTGTGTTTATTTTTTTAATTTTTTTTTTCAACGTTTATTTATTTTTGGGACAGAGAGAGACAGAGCATGAACGGGGGAGGGGCAGAGAGAGAGGGAGACACAGAATCGGAAACAGGCCCCAGGCTCCGAGCCATCAGCCCAGAGCCTGACGCGGGGCTCGAACTCACGGACCGCGAGATCGTGACCTGGCTGAAGTCGGACGCTTAACCGACTGCGCCACCCAGGCGCCCCCCACGTGTGTTTATAGGCTGTGCTGCTTTTCGCTTGCGCGGCTCCTCCAAAATGGCATGGGAACCACAGAGGGACTTGATCACCAAGGCAAAAGACAACTGCACCGGCCAAGTAAATGAAGGGTTAACAAACTACGTGCTCCCAAAGAGGTGGACCAGCTCCTCGAACTCACGCCTCAGTCACAAGCCAGCCCTTTGACGACGGTTCCTTTGAGGGGGCCCCAGCGTTTGTCACATTTGGGTTTCGTTTGTGAGATGCTCCAGCATCGGATTCCGCCCCTTCTGGGGGGACACCGTGTGTCATGCAAGTCGGAGCATGCCAGTCACCCGTTTCTGTGTCTGGCCCTACAAAGTGAGTCTTCTGGCTCCCCTGGGCGCCTCTCCACCCCCTCTCCGGTGAGCTGTCCTCAACTAACCTCACTTAGCTCCAGTGCTTCAGCTTACATCTCTGTCCCGAAGGCCCCCAAACCTGTACCTGCGGCTCAGATTTCTCTCCCAAGGTGTGAACGGCATTTCGACAACCTTTTTAACATTTCTACCTGAATGTCTCCACAGAACCACAAGCCCAACGGGGTCACAAAGGGACCTGCCGTTCCCCTCCCCCCATGTCTATCTCAGTTCCCGGTATTTCCATCCTTAGAGCTGCTCTGACTCGTCCCTCTCCTCCTCCGGCCTGGCCCACTGATTCCACCGCCTCATGGGTCCGGAGCTCGCTCTTTTTGTTCTCTAGTCCCCTGGCCGTGGCCTGTTTCAGAGCCCCATCTTCTCTCACCTGGGTCACCAGCAGAGCCGTGAAGTCTTCCTGCCTCTCTGTCATTCAGTCACCCTCCACGTGTCCTCTGGCTAAGTTGTGATGGCCATGCTGACAGCTGCTATCCCTGTGGTTCCTAAAGTACGGCCCGGGGCCCAGGAGCTTCAACATCACCTGGGAGTTTGTTAGAAAGCCTCCGGCCAGGGTCTGATCCTAGACCGACTGGATCAGAAAGGCGAGTGAGGCCCGGTGACCTGTTGTTAACGAGCCCGCCCTGCAGGTGATTCTGATCCCTGCGAAGGTTGGAGAACTGCAGCTGGCCAGACCCTCACAAGCCTCTGCCCCAGAGGCAGGCAGTGCTGTGGGCAAACAGCTGTCAGCCGCCAGCCCTCTGCAGGAGCACCTCAGCTGCAGAGAGCTGCATTCCTGGCCCCTCCACTGCTTAGCTTTAGGAGGGAAGATGAGCATCCTTCCCTGGGCAAGGGAGGAAGCATGGCAGGAGGTCTACTTTAGATACGTGCCATTCTCTCTCAAAATAAATAAACTTAAAGAAAAAAAAAAAGAAGAGCAGGGGTGCCTGGGTGGCTCCATTGGTTAAGCATCCTACTCTTGATTTCGGCTCAGGTCATGATCTCACGGTTCATGAGATCAAGCCCCGCATTGCACTCTGTGGTGACAGTGGGCAGAGCCTGCTTGGGATTCGGTCTCTCTCTCTGCCCCTCCCCAGCTCGTGCTTGCACGCTCTATCTCCAAATAAATAAACTTTCAAAAATCTTAAAGAAACAAAAAAGAGATGTGCTGTTCTTGGGGTTCTGCCTTTACAGTTAGACGGTTAAGTGTCTGCCTTTCCCTGATAGCAGATAACATAAAGAACAGAGACTGTACCCAAGTCACCTTTAAAAAAAATTGTGTTATTAAGTTTATTTATTTTGAGAGAGAGAGAGAGAGAGAGAGATTGAGAGAGAATCCCAAGCAGCCTCCGCAATGTCAGCGCAGAGCCTGATGCAGGGCTCAACTCACGAACTGTGAGGTCATGACCTGAGCCAAAATCAAGAATCAAGCCCTCAACCGATGAGCCACCCGGCACCTCCCAGAGTCGCCTTTATAAAGCTCAGCTGACACTGAGCACGGTGCCCCCTGACACTCACCAAGCCTCTGCTGGTGAACCAGGAAACCAGGGAAGACGGCACTCCCCAGTCCGTGTATGACACACAAATTGGGGGCGGGGGGACTGCTCCTTGCAGCTGATTATCTAAATAATTGCCTCAATTTTAACTTCACTTTGAGTTTGCCTGAGAAGTGTTCTCTTTGGGATTTGATCATTAGGGCTTTTATCGGTTCCCGACCATGGACAGTGTGCTATTCCTAATGAGGGCCTTCACCCTCAGATGAATCCCCTTGGCCAGATGGTCTTGGCTGGAAGCCATCCTTGGATGGGAAATGAAGCACTTTGGAAAATGCAGCCGGAATGTATTGACTATAACTTTAGGGAATCTAGCGAGGAAATGGACTCCACAAAGGGTCCAATTTCCTGCCAGGGAATCATTTGCTTGCTGAGTGATCATTAGAGCTGAATCTGAGAATCATTAAAAAGGAGAGAAGCTCCGAAAGTCCATCTGGTGCTTCGCTCTTCTCCACGCAGGGAGTCCCGCACCTGGCTGCTCACCCAAATCTCTCAGGATGCACCCTGGGGAGGCTCTATTTTTAGATACCCCCTCCGGTGATTAGCCAGCCACCCAGATTAGAGAACCCGCAGGACCCTGCTGTGCTGGGAACTGCAACATGTAGGAGCCACAAATCACATCTTTCCTAACCCTCAGAGAGCCTTCAGATACCTGAAGACAGGTGAATCTCCCGTTCACGCTGTAAACGCCAGCCCCACTTAAACACTCCCGTTCCGGGCAATGCCACTGTGATCGGAAGGGTTAGCATGCGAAGGAAGAAGGGACACAGGCTTCCATTGCTCTCCATGCTTATGACTCTCAGAGAAGGCCTTTGGAGCCTAAAGTCAGCTAGTCAAAGTGTGATCATCAGTATCGTCTGGGAATTCATGAAACATGCATATTCCCAGGCCCCTCTCAACCTACTGAGTTAGTAACTCCAGGCGGGGGCCAGGTGATCTGCATTTAAACAGCCCCTCCAGGTGCCTTGGATACAATTTTAAAGCTGGTGTTATCAGATGAGGGAAAGACATTCTCCTTTTGTTTTCTATCTAAAAGCTTTTCTTTCGTGGGTAAACTCTAGGAGATTTAAGGAACCCTAATTCCTGACCTTTAAGGGCTACCTATATTTTGTACATCTGAAGCCTTGATCTTGATAACCTCTCTCAGCCCACAGAGTAGACGATCCCCCCGCTATGCCCTCTTATTCAGTATCTCATATTATCAGAGATAATTAATAGTTTAAGGAACCAGGGGAAAATTATTTATGGCTAGAAGCGTTCTATGCCCACATCTGCACACACAGACCTCAGTGCTAGGTAAGGGGTAGGACTGTCTTCTATTTCTAGGGCTGAAAAAAGAATTGCCAGTTTGTTAACTTAGTTGACTGCACTACCAGTTCACAGCAACACTGAAGAGCACCTTTTAGATTCCTGCTACTCAGAGTGCGGTCCGTGGACCGTCAGCAATGACCTCACTTGGGAGTCTGTCAGAAATGCAAAGTCTCAGGCTCACCCCAGACCTCCTGCCTTGAAATCAGCATTTTCTCAGGACCTCAGAGTGATTTACAAGCTTGGCAAGTTTGAGAAGGCTGCTTCGGAGCCTTCCTTGTTTTGTAGACATCGTCCCTATTACCTGCCCCAGCTGGCCTGCATGAGGCGAACACCCTACCAGTTATTCGTGAGTGAACTACAGCACAGAAAGGTTAAGCCATATGTGAGTTTCCAGTCAAGATCACACGGTGGAGAAGAGTTAGAGGAGGGTCTGAACTGAGGTCTGCTTCCCACTGCTCTATCTCCTGGCCAGGCAGGTATAAGAGACGGAGTAGGGCAGGCTCCCAGATGAGGCCAGCCCGCCTTACTGGACGGATCCTTGGGTCCTTCCTCCTGAAAACTTCACAGGAAAACAAAAGCAACCTCTGAGAGCCCTCCCTCTGAACTCTGCCTAAAATTGTTTTATTTAGAACAGCTGGTTCTCAAATTTTCTGCTTCGTCCACATATCAGCAGGTAGAAACAATACTCTTCTAAGTAAAAGAGGCTCACCGGGGCAGAAAGGGTAGAAATGGGGGGTGTGTAGGGTTGGGACAAAATCTCCCAGGGAGCTGACCTGCACAACCCAAAACTACGACCCTACAAACGTATTTCTAGAATCCTGGGGGCTGGCCCACCATCTGCCTCCATCAAAATCACACTGGTTCTTGTTTTTAAAAGCACAGATTTGTGAACTCCATCCCTCACAGAATCGGAATCTCTGAGGTTAGAGCCAATCTGTGCATTTCTCACAGGATCCCCGATCAGCTTTGAAGCATGAGCAACTCAGACAAGGCTCTGCAATTGCTTATTTT